TTCTATTATAGACGAATTTTATGTTTTAAAACCACGTTAGGCACAATATTAATAAGTAATGTTATATTATGATTTTTTTTTTATATACATGAATTTTATTCGTACATTAACTTTTTAAAAATTTTTGCCTCCCCAACGTAAAATCCATTGGCCATGTTTAGAGCAATCTGCAATAACTATCCACCATGGTCGCAAGTAATAGCCCCTATCTGTACAGCTGCATCGATTTTCAAATTTAGTCCTCCGACCTCCCAGACTTGGTGTTTTCCATGCAGCTGACCTCTTCGACGTATTTGCATCTGAATTTTTCTTCACAAGTATATACTCAAGATATTCAGCATACAGTAACAACTTTATAATCGGATCCCACATGAATCCGATGCCCCCAAAGCATATCCACATTAACTAGCTGATATAATGAAAATCTCCAAGCGAATAGTGATAAAAATTTACCTATAGAGGTGCTATCAATCTAGTAATAGATGAATTAACTTATGACAGGCCACCTCCCGACATTTTTTAAAGTTTCTTTGATACAAAATAACACATACTTAATGCTTTCGATCATCATCAAACGCACATTTTAATTCAATGTTGTAAATTGCACGCCTACGCATGAAGCGCGACAAAAACACCACTCCCAGAGCCCGAGCGGCTAATTAAGCGGTCAACATAAGTGTTGACCCCTTAAGACACGCCTAGACATGCATTTATTATTATTATTACTATTATTGTTATTTATTTATTTATTTATTTTATTGTTGAAGTGTTTAATTATTACAAATTTTTCAACTTTTAGCCAACTTATTGACCCATTAATTTATAGAGGGCATCTTTAAGGATTTTATTGTAAACTTTCGAAGTGGGATAATAATTCCTTTAATTTGGCTGTAGTGTATTGTACTATTGTATAAATGATTATTTATATTTTACTGAGTTAATTAATCAATTATTTTTCGATTAGCACTATTATACTATTTCTTGTTTATAGCTTGAAAATATATTTATTTTGTTAAACTCTTGAAACTTCATTTGACACTACAAATTGTATATATTATTAAATAATTTTTAGATTGATTTAAAATAATATTAAAATAAGGAAACATATTTTTACTCCTAGGCTCACTTAGCCGGAAACTTGGCATTTACATCTCGCCACGCATTACAATTTTTAGAACACTGCATTTTATCGTTCTCAACAGTGGATGGACCACATTTGAAAGGCAATTGCAACGTGAAATACACGCCAAACAACGATATGAATTTTAGGCAAACCTTATACTTTTCACAGCCATTTGATCCCACATTTTGCATTCTTTCATTAAGCAAGAGTTTATATCCAGATTTCACTGTGCACACACATTGTTTTGAGCTTACTCAATTGGACGAATTCCAGAATTTTCATTAAAATACTAAGTGCATCGAAGATTCCATTACATAAATAATCCAAAGAACGTTAAATTTGAAGAAAGAATGTTTCTCAAACTTTTATTTGTACTATTTTTGAATATATTAACTAGAGCGAGGTACCATGACAACCTGCCACTTTATTTCAATAGCTCACAAGAGCTTGTGATTGTGCCTTCTTCAATTCTTTGACTTGAAAAGTTTGACCAATTGGGGAGATACATTTAGTGAGGCTTGTACAAGAGATGAAGGCAAAGTTTTCCACACTGATGCATTCCCAGCTAACTTCCCAAATATTGGCCTGCACGCAAAACATAATATGAAAAATAATGAGAAAACGGTCGAATGACTTTGGAACTTTTGATATATTAGACTATGAGCATGTTTGACACGACTTTTGAAAAGTCAAAAGGAACTTTGAAAATTCAAAAGTTACTTTTTGAATTCGTATGATTAATCTATCAACGAGATAAAAAAGCGAACACTTCCATTTGTGAAATTAGG